TTTAATTTTTATGATTTTTTTGCAAAAAAAAATCGGATTCGGATCCGGATATTTGGATATATGAAATTTTGGATATCTGAATTTTCAGATATCTGATTTTTTTCGGATCGAATACGGATCATTACTTTAGGTATCCGAAATTTTCGCATATCTGAAAATTCGGATCGGATAATATCAGATATCCGGTAATGCACACCCCTAGTGGACGTGATGTGATCCCAATCAACCCTAACTTTCTTCTTGATCTGATTAAATCATTGAAGTTTACCAAGGCTAATTCAAAGTTAGTTCTACCTTACTTCATCATATATTTGCTTATTTATGCACTATATTTAATCATATGTTTGTATTTACCTCTTAGGATATGCTTATCATATGATATCATTCATTGCATGAATTTTATTAGTTGCATGACGTTCATAGCATTTAATAAGTGTACTGTTCATTTAAGCATGCATTACATTTAAAGCATCTAGTTCATTTACGGAAGTAGTTCATTTATGCATATTTAGATCATTTAATAAGCTACTTCATTCATGCATCTAGTTCATTGAATAAAGCGAGTTCATTAATTAAACTAGTTTATTCATCAAACTAGTTCATTTATTAGACTAACTCTTAATTGTTTCATGCATGTTTTCAATTAAAGCCTGAATAAAGTTCACCTTTGTGTCTAAGAGCATGAGAGAAGTTGAACGGTTTCAACAGATGAAGAATGATAGTCAGAATTTCTTCCAATTCTGGATGCAATACAGACTTTTTTGGGTCCAGAAATCAATTGGACATTATTCCTCTATCTTTTAGCTTTCCAACACCTTTTGAATCACCTCAATCCGATATCTGGAGCTTGAGATATGATCGATTTACTGAAGATAGTGCATGCTGGAATTTTCATTACGAGAATTTTATACAAGGATGATTTGGATGAGTTTGAGCCAAGGAAGAGTCCTTTCATCTTCTACCAAGAGAGAAGCAATTGATGGCCATCTTAATTCACCAATTCAAGGCATTCAAGGTTGATGCTATCGCCCATTGAAGGCCATTCATATTCAAGCAAGGGGACATGCAGTAACCAACATTCAAGGCCTTTATCATCTTTTGAAGGCTGATCATATTTTACAAGGGAACAAGCAATGAATGCTGATTTCATTTCATTTCACCACCAAATTAAGTGATAAAATCAGCAAGGAATTTGAAGAGACAAGCTGATTTGGACATGTAGGATGTCCACATTCATTCTATGACTTCATTTATCATCTTTTCTTCCATTTGCAAGCAAGGCAAGGCAGCCCAAGAGCCACCCCTCATTTTTTGGATGCATTTAAGGCTAGAATCATCTCAAATTAAAGCTTAATTCATCCATTTTCAATCTACATGGCCAACCATCAAAGGATAAGAAGAATGACAAGTCATTTAATTGAATTAAATTGTATTTAGGTGATTGTTTTATTTTAAGAGAAAATAACTTCAGTGACCAAAAATCCAAGATAATATACGATTTTGACCAACTTATTTTAGATTTGCGAAAATGACCAACAAAATCGCAATGCGATCTCTAATTCGCATTGCGATCTCCACTGTCGCAAATTCGCATTGCATTTCGCATTTCGCAAAATCTACATGTAAAATTCGTTGCGATAGTTAAAAAAAAAGATTTTGTTTCTTAAGAATTTTCTCTAAAAAGATAGTATCCGCGCGGACGTGTCGAAGACACGTATTACCACGACCACGACCACGACCACGACCACGACCACGACCACGACCACGACCACGACCACGACCACGACCACGACCACGACCACGACCACGACCACGACCACGACCACGACCACGACCACGACCACGACCCGACCCGAGACGGACGGACGACGGCGGCGGCGCGCGAGAGTCCCCCTTGTTCTCTATCACTCACAAGGAAGTGGGAAAGCCAAGCTTAAATACCATTCCAATAGTGTTTCCAATACTATGTGGGATTTGAGCATTACCAATACTTGTTCCCAATACTATGTGGGATTGAGCCTTAAATAGTGATATTATTTTTGAATGTTTTGCTTAAAATTGCAATAATCGCGATTGATTGTAGATTGACTTTTAATTATGACATATTTAATCGTATAATACTAATGCAATTGGTTGCTGATTCAGTTGTTTTAAGGTGCATGATTGTTAATTGTTTCCTGAATAATCACATTGTATTAGAAACAAGTGTTGGTAATGCTCAATCCCACATAGTATTGGAAACACTATTGAGAATGGTATTTAAGGCTTGGCTTTCCCACTTCCTTATTGAGTGATAGAGAACAAGGGGGACTCTCGCGCGCCGCCGCCGCCGTCCGTCTCGGGTCGGGTCGGGTCGGGTCCGTGTCCGTGTCCGTGAGAATTTGGAAAATCACAACGACAACTGTAGACTATCGCAACGCGAACTGGAAAATCGCAACGCGAACTGGAAAATCGCAACGCGAAATGGAAAATCGCAACGAATTTGGAAAATCGCAACGACAACTGTAGACTATCGCAACGAATTTGGAAAATCACAACGACAACTGTAGACTATCGCAACGCGAAATGGAAAATCGCAACGCGATTTTCAACTATCGCAACACGATTTTCAACTATCGCAACGCGATTTTCAATTATCGCAACGCGAAATGCAACGCAAATTTATGATAGTGGAGATCGCAATGCGAATTAGAGATCGCATTGCGATTTTGTTGGTCATTTTCGCAAATCCAAAAAAAGTTGATCAAAATCGTATATTATCTGGGATTTTTGGTCACTGAGGTTATTTTCTCTTATTTTAATTGTAAAAAATCTTCATATGGTGCTATCAACACTATAAATAGGCACCTCCATGGCATTTGTACTAAGAACTTTTTGCATAAAAAACTCTTTGAAAGGTTGCTTTCATTTTAGTTCTTGGATTAGAACTCTATCGGTTTCTTATCAGTCTTGAAGCCTTCCTCCATTTCATTTTTTTATAACGTTGGTTCCTAGCTCACCTATAGCTAGTGGGTCACATTCCACCCTCTATCACTTCGATTCCATCTTTGTATTTTATTGGTTCCTAACTCCATATAGCTAGCGGGTCACAATCCATACTTTTTATTTCATCATTCATCTCCCACGCCATAACAACTTTTACCTTTACCATACTTTCATTCTTTCCACACTCTAAATTATTATCACCACTACACTTTCCCCACTTTCCTTTATTTCATTAAACCACAACAACCATCACTCTTCCATCACCTTCAAACCACTTTATCATAACCTACAACCTTTTATTTTCAATTCACTTATATGAATTTATTTCTTGTAACATTGTTTGTGCATTTTCAGTCTTCAATCAAAGCACTGTGAAGTTCTTACTAGAATCACGATCGGTCAACATCGTATATGACTCGGAACACATAACCAAGATCATATCTAGACGTAAACTAAATCTTCAGTGTGACTCAGATTTAACTTATTCCTCCTAAGTGAGTGGATAAAGGAATAAGTACTCCAATTTCTTTCACAAAAAGAGGATGAAGTTGGTTGTCCAAGCACTTTGAAAGCCAAACATTTGAGGAATGGAGTTTGACACCGAAGTAAGTCACCAACTTTTTGAATTCGAAGAATACCTCTTTTTAAGAGAAATCAAATCTTCAAAAGGTCCACTTTTAAGTAAGAAACAAGAATATTCATCCAAAACTTTGTCTTAATCATCATCATTTGGAAATAACCTACGAAATCACTTCATTCTCTCTAAAAATATTTCGTCATCTCTATGAGGAGCAACTCTACTAAGATCATCGGTTAGCCAACTATCACTATAAAACCTTCAACGTATTAAAAGGAAATTACACATATATCAAAGAACTAGGATTTGAGAATATAAAATTCAAAAGTAACAAATCTATGTACATTGAATTTAGTGAGTGAGCTAGACAATGAAGAGGAGTGTAATAATGTCCCCTAAGCTCACGATGAGTGAAAACATTAGACTCAAAATTTTTAAGTTTGAAATAGGTGGTGAAATTCAGATTTTGAAATAATTTGGATTGGAGTCGCCATCGACCTTTGGGTTAGGTATGTTGAATACCTAAAAATATATTTTCATGATTTTTTAGAAAAAAATCATTTTGAAGACAAAAATAGTCTGCAATTTACCAAAGATTCATTTTTTAAGAATTTGGGAGTCGATTACGCATGGGGAAGGTAAGCACTCCCACAACGCCCAAAATCGATACCCAAGCGATTATAAGTTGTCTAATTATTGAAAATTTCAAACTCGAACACGCATTTAAATTATTATCCTTTTGTTCATTTTATTTTATTTTTTTAATTGAGTGTAATTTATTAAAAGGATTTTGACTTAGAAACTGACTTGATTCACTCGGATTTATTTTGAAAAATTAATGAAGATCGCCAACCTTCGTAATTAGGATACTATCTCGTTAATTCTATAATTTAAAACAACATTGCCTTAAAATTTGTTAAAATCAAAACATGATGACAGGTACAAATGTAATGGATGCAATAGTTAAAAGTCCAGTATGAATGTTCTATATTATATATTATTAAAAAGAAAATATATTCACTACAGCAAAATGGGTTTTAGCGGCATTTTTTGTCATATAGCTTCCTTTTTATGTGCCGTTAGAAACTCTTCTGACGTAAAAAGAAACGCTGTTAGAAACTCTTCTGACGTAAAAAGAAACTCTGTAAAATGTGCCGCTAAAACAAATGTCAAAAAAGTTTTTAGTGGTGTTTATTTTACAAACGCCGCTATTTATCTTATCTTTAGTGACCCTGACCATCACAACCAGGATCGTCACGGGTAGAAGCAAAAAAAAAGAAGAAAAATTAATGACAAAGCAAAGAAAATTCCTTATAGACATCATTATTAGTATACTTGGAGCCCTAGGTCTGGTCAAGTTCTTTCCAAGGAGAATGGCCAAAGGAAAAACAAACCATCCATTACTATAGTTTTTTTTTCTGTTTTTTTTTATTCTAATGGGGAGGAACAGAGGGACCTGGTTTATATGACTTTCAAAGTCTCAAATGAACTAACTGTAAAACAGTCCATGTTGGAAAGAGAGAAAGTACAAAAGAAAAAAAAGGAGAAAGTAAAAGAAAAGGAAAAAACCCTTCCCTGCAAGAAAACCACCACCATTATGATGACACAATATCATCTTTGTATGTCTATTCTTATTATTTTATTGTTTCGAGACTCTTTGTATAATTTCTTTCCCTATGTTCTTTTTCAAACAGAGAAAATACCAAAGAGTTTGCGCAAATTTGCAGCACATACTAGTTGATTCTATGTTGTGTTACTTTTCTAGTAAAATATATACAGAAATGAAAATATTTGTTTCAGAACTGTTTTTTCCATTGGTATGCCACTTTTTCAATTCTTCTTTTATCATTGAAGATTTTCAAGGGTAGAAGCTATCCAATTGTTATCCCACATTTAACTAGGTAAGGATCATGACTTGTTTGCGGGCCATATATATAACTGCAAATATACCCTAAAGGAGTGGAGAATTAGTCCTTAATAATTAAGACTTATAGATCATGATCATGACAACTTTTCATTATATATATATATATATTCTTGATCAAATCCCTTATTTGAAGTAAAATCAGTTTACCTCAATTGCTTTGTCCCTGCAATATAATCATCTAAGGGGGACAGCTCTACAACTACACTATATATGCTCACCAAATCAATGTCAAAAGAAAAAGAAAAGAAAACTACTATTGCTAATGATGCATGAAGAAAGTTGGTTCAATTATATTATTTTTTATCAGGTCAAGTATTTTCCTTTGCTATTACCAAATCAATGAAAAGTGAATGTACTTCAAGATTATGATCCCGATAAACCCATCAAAACTACCTAGATTTTCCTAAAATCAAACACAAACTATAAGCGGTGGACTTCAACTGCTATTAACAGGAAAATCATTCTATGAGCAAACCATGTATGACGAAAGCAGCTTACAACTACACTCCCTACCCACTGATGCAGATTATGAATTCGATAAGCTCTACTTCGCATCAAGCTTAAAAAATTCAAACAAAAGCACATGTTGCAGATCTCAAAACCAAGAATGTAATATATTGTATAATACATACATTAAAAGCTAGCTCTCTCGATCAATGAAGATCACGAAAAACATCAATATTTGCAGATCTCAAAACCAAAAATGTAATTCATCTTTTCATTTGTATTCTAGTTTTACACTTTTATTTTGGGCCTCTCGTTTTCTTAAGCTTGAATGATTTTTTTTTCGAGCAAGTGGAGTCGTATTTTCGCATTCTCAGTGAACCAAAGTTGCCTTCTGTTTTTCTTCAAGTATGCTGTATTAAGTATTTTTTATATCTTTTGTATTCCTTGCACGTGGAAGGACTAAAATTCTGATCATTATCTTAATTGTGAATTTTGATTGGCTAATTTGTTGGGTTTGGGGCAATATGGAACAGCTGATGGAATGTTCTGTGCTTCTGACATTACCGGGAAGCTATGTGATACGAACAAACAAAATGACAAAATGATACGAACAACAAAAGACCCTGAAAATGAATAATACACATTTGACAATGCAAAATCCACCTGTAAATCAGTGCAAATGATACGAACAAACATTAAAAGATTCAATTCTCAACCACCATCGATCTACAGATCCACGAAAAAACAAAATGAAAAACCGAGAGACCAAAGTTTTCTTTGCATATGGAAAAACAAGAGACAGTTCTCGCCTATGGAAAACAGAGAAACGCCCAAAAGAAAATGTCCAACTTTCTTCTGGCCGATTGTTATAGGAAAAAAGTAGGGTGCAGCGAATAAGAAAGGCATACCTGGTGGTTGGCCGGAAGAGTGCGACGACGACGATGCTAGCTTCTGCTGGTGGCTGCGCTACGGTGGTTGTGCTGAGCTAGGGATTAGAAATCTGTTTGAAACAAAAAGAGAGCTGAATGATCAAGATTTTGGTATTTCTAAAACTTTGCGTCGTTTTTTAAACCAAACGTCACTATAGAACAAACTATTGTGGCGTTTTCAAACAAAAAACCATTAACGGTTCAACATATTACAACATTGTTTTTCGAATTATTGTGGCGTTTGTTTAAAAACACCAATATATATACCCTATTGCAGTGTTTGTTTAAAAATGCGACTAAAGAAAGATTTTTTTGTGACATTTGTTTAGAAACGTCACTAAAGTAGGATTCTGTGGCGGCGTTTCTTTAAAAATGCCACTAAAGTACTTATATGTAGCGGCGTTTATTCACAAACGCCGCTAAAGTATGAGTTTTAGCAGAGTTTAGGGGAAAATGCCATTAATGTTACCATTTTGTGGTGTTTTTGATATAAACACCGTGATATGTATAAATTTAGTGGCGTTTAGAAAACGCCGCTACATACCTGTTTTGTTGTAGTGATTAGAAGGAAATATTATTAAAAATGTATCTTTCATACGAACAATCTTCGGAAACATATTTCCCTTAAGTTAGAAGACTTTTCCATAGATTCCACTCACAAAATGACATTGCATTGACTTTATTTAATGTTAAAAATAGTATAATATTATATTAAGAATCCTTTAGAAACGTTTGAATAAAAGGGTATCCTTTTTGTATGAACAATTCTCGGAAACATGTTTCCCTTGTAGTCGTGAGACTTTTTTATAGATTCCTCGCACAAAAAGACATTACCTTGATTTTTTTTATTAACATATACACGTATTTTAATATTGATATTTAATGAAAAATAATATGTATGGATTTGAAAAAAGAATGATAAAACACATATAAAATATATAATATATATATTGTTCAAAATAAATCATATATATAAGTTATTGCTCTAAAATTTGAGCAAAAGAATAGAGCAAACTGGTTCAAACTCTGACGTTTTCGAATGGAGTAAACTGGGTTGGAAGGGTCGCCCTTGCCTCTTACCCGATTTCAATTAGTCGATCAATAGATCGATACCAGTGATTAACTAAAAAAACATATATATGTATAACATAATAGATTATAAAATGTATAAAAATTTACAAGTTATTCACGCATATATATATATATATATATATATATATGTTACGTATTTTAAAATATATACATATCATAAGGTAATATAATAATGTCCATAAAAGAGTTAACGTAAACATGTATACATGGCGAGAAAAAGTATAAAGTTCATAAAGTTAACAGGCTTAAATGTAAACATGGTAAAGAACATGGATTAAAACATAAATAAAATAAAATACATTCACCAAGATTGCAATAAACCATTAAATAACATGCGAGACAAAAATATAATGCAGGTAAAATAAAGTGCCTAATATAAAAGAAGATGAAATCAATTCAATAGCCGAAATGCGAACTCTACAAACAACAAGGGACCCTTATTGCGAATAACCCCAAATGCTAGACATGGCTTCTTCATCCCCTAAAATGACATAGTTTAATGGTGTGTATATAAGGTTAAACTTAACCATAAAAGGGTAAAACCTTCATTTTTCACCCTAAAAGGAAACCCCCTAAACTCTCCCTATCTCTTCCTCTCCTCACGAGAAAACATAAACATGCAACCACGTTGGTCGCCTTTAACCACCGTTGGAGGTAGGGGACTATAAAAACAAACCCTTCAAAACCAACGCTCATAGCCTTGAATCGTCTCAAAATACTTTTTTGGAGCCACAAAAGACTCAAACAATCCCCCACGCCTAAATCTAAAGAGATTCGAATGGATTACCTTCAATTTGGATGGTGTTTTGGTGCTCCAACGATGGTCATTTCAAGGGTAAGATCTTCATTTTTCCTTGCTTGTTCTTTTTGTTTCATTTTTTGTTGTTGTTGTGTGTTTGTTTGTTTTCCTCTCTCTTTTTTGTTCGAAAAAAAAGGCTGCTCCACTATTGTCTTGTTTACTTACAGACTATAATGTGAGTGGATGGCAAGCACTCAATGATGACATGCAACAGCGGATTAGGCTTCGTGGTGTACAGACATGGTGGTCATGGTGCAACAATCGGAGCATTAAATGTCCCGAATATTACGAGATTCGTACTTCTTTTTGTCTGAAGGATCAAACAACTAATGTGACGGCTCGAATGACGGCATCAGTCGGATAACGGCATCAGCGGCTGATCTTGGAGCATGTCAAAGGGTTATGATGAAAAACCCTAATATGGGTTGATCTAGGCTGTTATATCTCTTTTAGAACTAACGATAAGGGGTGATGTGGCTAGCTTGAACATGAACAAACCCTAGTTGTGTTGGGTCCTTATGTGGGCTTGCATTGGGTTTTTTTGGGCTTTTAGGTAACCATGTAAATTGGTTTAGGGTCTTTGACATGTATTTGGACTTTGAGTTATGAAACATTGGGTTTTATTTCTTTACTTTAATAATAATAATAATAATAATAATAATAATAATAATAATAATAATAATAATAATAGGTCAGGTAAAAGATGGTTATTTCAACTGCCTCTCTTTGCTCATTGTTGTGAAACAAGAATAGGGCAAAGACATAAAACACCAATTTTTATCTGTCAGAACTACCAACAAATCTCGAGCTCCAAGTTCTTCTTAGTACGAACTCTTCACTCTTTTGTAAAGACAACTTTTTAGGTTGAACAAGTTTCCTATATGAACTTCTTCTTCCTTGATCATTTTTTCTCTATGGAATTAGTGGGTTGGCTCTCCTATATAAGCTCCCTATTCTTCCATAAAGGTCATGTTGACGTCAAAAAAACTCTCCTATATGAATTTCTTCTAAGATCATTTTTCCTCTATGGAATGACTAGGCGAGCTATCTTATATAAGCCCTCTATTCTTCCATAAAGGGCATGTTGAGGTCGAACAAGCTCTTCTATATGAACTTCTTCCTTGATTGCTTCTTCCTATTTAGAAAGAGTATATGAATTCTCCTATATAAGCTCTTTATTATCTCACAAAGGCCATGTTGAGGTCGAACAAGCTTTCCTATATGAACTTATTATTCTTTGATTGCTTCATCCTATATGGAATGGTCAGACGAGCTCTCTTATATGAACTCTCAATTGAAAATGGTATTCCACCTCCTTCTATGATGGATTTGGATCTATAAAATGTTATCATGTGTCAATGAAAATTTTATTTAAGGTACCTGAAGCCAATAACCCAAAGGTCTTGTATTCTTGCTAAGATCCCCATGGATCAAAATCTTTGCTGAGATTTAATCATTCAAACATAAAGTAGTAAAGTGAAATCTTTGTTTATTCTTTTGAATTCCTGTCAAAACATAAAATGTTCTTTTATGTAAATGAATGAGTGAGCAGGAATTTGTTTCAAGAGAAGCTATCTCAAGTGAGATAAAGAAATTTTGAGGGAAACGATCTCAAGTAAGACGATATTTTTTTCAAGATAAGATATCTTAAGTGAGATAAACTCTTTTTTCGAGGGAAAATGTCTCCAGTGAGATAAAATAACTTTCAAGAGAAACTATCTCAAGTGGGATAATGTTTTTATTTCGAGCGAAACAATCTCATTTTTTTTTGTATTTCAAGGGAAAATTCCTCAAGCGAGACAATAATTTTAATTTCAAGGGAATCTATCTCGAGTTAGAAGAATTCAATGTTTCAAGGGAAACTATCTCAAGGGAGACAAACTAGTGTTTCAAGGGAAAACAATCCCAAGGGAGATAAATTTGATGTTTCAAGGGAAACTACTTCAATGGAGACAAAGTTGAAGTTTTAAGAAAAATGGTCTTAAGAAAGATGAAGTTGAAGTTTACTAAGAAACAGTCTTAAGGAATACGAGATTAAGGTTTCCAGGGAAACAATCTTAAGTAAGAAAAAGTTCAAGCTCCTACAGAAGCAATCCTACGAAGGACTAGAGTGAGTTTCCTATGAGACATGTCCTAAGAAAATCAAGAATGAGGTTCCTTGAGGAATGATTTTTAGAAAGACTAGATTGAACTTTCTAGTGTACAAGTCCTGAGAAGGTCAAGATTGAGATTTCCAGGGAAACAAAATTAAGAAAAAAAATGGTTTCTCAAAAGAGAAAACCTCTAGAGAGAGGAATCAAAGTTTTTCTTCTTCTTAATGAAATAATGAATGTTTGATGCAAACAAGAAAATTTATGTAAAATGTAGTTCAGTAATGATGATGCATATTTTCTTGATGAATGGCCAAGAATGGATGCACAAGCAGTCTTCATTCTCTTCTCGATTTGTTCATCTTCATTTTTCACACCATGTAACCTTGTAACTCTTGGTTTACAACAATCTGTTTTTCTTGTTCCAAAAAATTTTGCCCCTAAGATTTCATCTTTTATTGCTCTAACTTATAATTTTGAGCTTCTAAGTCTAAAATACATTTGTCAACTTCCAATATACATTCCCTAAAGAGTTAGTCTTGTTTGAAAATATTTTTCTTCCTTTGAAAAGTTCGATGAAGAGATTTTGAAAAAAAAAACAAAATGGTGCCATACGCTTTGGGCTCACAATTGAAACAAAACATAAAATATGAGTTCATTGAATATCAAACAAATCATCTGCTCTTTTAGTCATTTAAGATTATAGTTCTTTGACAAATTTCAAGTCTAATGGTAATTTTAAGGCTTAGGTTGATTTGGGAAAGTATGATATTTTGGGTTGGCTTTTCTAGTCAAAGATCTAACACTTTCTCTTCTCTGATGTTCACTAATTTGATGAAGTGGTTTCTATGTTCACCATTTAGAAACGTCCATCGGTTTCAAACTCTCATGAGAATTTTAGGATGTGAGAAACTTTATCAAGCGTTTTTAAAAGATAGTCTCTTACACAACAGTTGCATGATTTTCATACATGAGTCACCTTTTCAAGTTTTCAACTCAAATATTCTTTTGGTTTCAAGACGTCTTGTGAAACTTTTCATCTTGAACCACCCCTTTGTTATTTACCTTATCATGCATTAAAGATTTTAGAAAACCATTTTTACAAATAAAAAGATTAACCTTGAGAGGCGGAGTGAAATCTGAAGACAATCTCTCCCACTTAGAAATTCATTTATGATTAGAAATGACTTTAAGGGACATAACGTAAACCATGGCTTGCGGTTATGAAAGAAATGGATAAATAGGCACAAACAAGTGTTTAAGGGTGGAATGATCAATTCATTCTGATGCCTTCAATACCGATTTTCTTGATTTGAATATGTTTTCAAATGTCTTTTATATTTTTTTTTCTCTTTTTAGATCCTTATAGACTGCCTATTTATGAGTTTTCACCGTAAATTTCATCTTTTTTTTCTATACCTTTGGTATTCTTGACTTTCATATTGAACCTGGATCTTTGAACCAGTTGAACTTGATCAACCTTATGGTTTGGGGCTTGATGAGTCATTTGATTTGAAGGACTCTTTGTATATGCTTCTTGCCCCCTTGTGTGGTGGATGATCCTTGGTTAGGGTCGAATATGAAAATAAAAATATTTTAGGATCAAATAGGGACACAATTGATATATATTTTTCTCATTTTATGAAGACATAGTGAAAGAGGGTCGTTCATCATTTCATACACAAAAATCTTTATAAAACATGTACCCCAAGGGGATAGATATTCATGACTAACTTTTTATTTATGTGAAAACAATTCCATCAATTCATGATAGAATTATTTCAATCATTCTATTTTCTTTTTCTTCTCCTTGCTCATAGTATACCAGTCATTCAGGCTTATCTTTGGAAAGTTGATTCAAAACGCCCCATCTCATTTTCCTTGCAGGAAGATTCAAGCACAAACAAACATCTTGTAGTCAATTACTTTAGATATTATCGTGGTAGAAGAATGTTGGTTTTATGTCTGAGAAGACGATGATGTGACATTGAAGTCATATCTTTCGAAAAAGGTAATGTCATGGAAAGGTTGACTCTGTCCAAGAAGGTAAAAGTGTGACTTTGGTGCCTCAGAGAGATGTATTGTCAAGACTAGATTTTTTAGCATTGAACATGAATGATTTTAGGTAAAAAAAATTGAGTGATTATATTTTTGGCTTTGGACGAGATACGAAAGGTCTAATCTTACCACATGTCAAAGGTCTATAACCTTGATCCTCAAAAGAGCTCCTGAATTGCATTGGGATGCCCTACTACTCATCAAATATCCATGCCCTTGAATCGGTTAAATTTGTACCTTATGCTTCAATGCCCCATAATTTTTGGTGGCATGTCTTCATAACGAAGTTGCGTGATTAGGATCATTTCTTAAATTGTTTCTATAAGTTATTAATTAATGCATGCAAAAATGTTTTAAAATACGATGCAATTGCATAATGCAATGATGCAAATGCATAATGCAATGATGAAAATGCAAATGGTGTCAATTCCAAAAGTGATTTCTATTATAAAAACCTTCATCATAACCCAAGTTCTCCGTAAACTAGATAGCCAAATTTCCCAAGCTTCCTTTTCTTCATATCCATGAGCTAGGTTACTCCCATGATTTGATGTTGTCTTTATAGTTGTTGTTGGACTGAACAGGATGTCGAACCACCTCTTACATTTGATGATGTTCACTATCACCTACTATGATTTCCAAATCTCTATATTTCCACTTCTATGAGCTTTTTTCAGGGGAAAATGGCCTTTATGTCTTCGTGGGTAGTCTTCTCATTCTTGAACTAGTCAACATCTAGCTCGTTGATATCATCTCGATCTTTGTGTCATCAATGAGAGTCTTCGATCAACTTTGAGCTTTTGTTTCATCAATTATCTCATTTTTAAATCATCGACCATTTGGATTTGACTACCTAGTTATGTAACCCCTTTATCGATATGAAAACCATCTACTTTTGGTAACCACTTTTTTGAATCAACACCTTTATGTCATGATGTTGCAATTGTAAGAAAGAAAAAAATAAAAAAATCGAGTTAGCATCAATTAGATAATCAATAAAATAGTAAGAATCATCTTTAACGAATAAAACCTACACTCACATGTTGTCTACCCAAATATGGTTTAATACGTCCTACTTAGACATGATTTCTACCCCTGTTCTTTTGTTTGACAAATAAATCCTAACCGCATTATTTCTAGTTCTCATGCTTCATACGGAAATGTAAAACTTAACCACATACTTTTCTAGTTCTCATATTTTTTACTATAAGTAGATCTACTATATGATCAAAAAAAAAAAGGTTAGTGTTCGTTTCCCCTTTGTGATAGTTTTGTTGAAGATCCTTGGACAGATTTTTAGTATAACAAAATGGGAAGAGTTTCACTACTAAAAGGTCCTCGAATTTTTCTTATTGATACCCCTTTGGCCTTGGTAGACCATCGGTTCTCACCCATTATAGGCTTAAACTGATCAAGTTCAGTTTAAGAGGATACATTTCCCTATGTACATACGATAAAAATCAATTTTTCACTTGTAAAAATAAGGCATATGCACCCCAGAGGTTATTTGCTAAATCCCATACTAAGAAAAATAATTTTTCTCACGTAAGTGTAGCGTTCAACCCTACCTAAAAGGACAGGGCACAGTTAGAATGCTTGGGATGGATAAATAACCGTGACGTGTGTGAGGAGAAACTCACAATCCTTTGCTTCGACCAAAAAATAAATAAATTTGAAAATAATCAAAAATATGAAACAAGGTGAAATCACACATTAGTACGATTATTTATTGATAATGATAAAAGTGATGTATGACATGATGAAATACAAAACAAAATTAAAAGGATCAAAATTTAGATATCATTTGAATTTAAAATTTTTAAATATGAAGATGAACATAATCAATTATGGCCTGACACTCTAATTTTCTCTAGCGGAGTCACCAACCTGTCATAATGTCCCCTAAGCTCGCGATGAGCGAAAACATTAGACTTAAAATTATTAAGTTTGAAAGAGGCGGTGAAATTAAAATTTTGAAATAATTTGAATCGGAGTCCCCA